TTAGTTAAACCACTCTTAAACGTAATTATCATGTTAGTGTGAACAGGGTATAAGACTAGAATACATACCATACAGCTATTTACACTCCTTAGAATGCAATACGTTTTCTCACAGGAAATAGGATTTATACCCCCCCCCCCACCCCCCTTAAGGGTCCTCTTGCTTGTGTTCTGTCATAACTGGTAGCCTGTGAACGGTGTCGTGTTTGGGGTGAAGAGAAAGCTGGAAGAAAGACGTTAGAAGAGAGAGCCCCAACCCCCACCTGATTCCCCCCTCAGCCACTTCACTTTCAGCCAGTTCCTTCTCCGCCCTTCCAGCAGCGGTCAGACCCTTCCAGCCGGAGCCTGTTCACGGGCTACATCACTGATGGGACTAAAAATCCCTTAGCAACTTTAACTTTTTCAAAAATTACTATACACCCGTAATTTCTCAGTGTCTCCTATTATGCTCTATATTCTATGCATCATTTTTGTGATGTATGGAGACTTAGAAAAGAGGTAATAAACAAAAAAATAGAATGTGAACACAGGCAGACCACTCTACGTGTTTGTGGTTGATAAATATGAAACAAACAGAATCTATGAGGGTTATGAATAGAGCTCTGAAAATTGCATATGTAAATTACATCTTTGTCTGAATATCCCAATAAAGTTAAATGAAATGTAAATGAACTCATGTGTGGTGTTTTTTCGTCTTCCTGGGCCATCTGAAGGGTCCTAAATTACTTTTGGCTTTTTGGAAATTACTTTTGGCCAGAGACCAGTATTGGTCTTATTGGACTGGTATTGGTCTTATTGGACCAGTATTGGTCTTACTGGTCTAACTCAATAGAAACAAGGTACATTGTATATGTTTTCTGTTTCTCAGTTATTAAAACTTAAGGGTATTTTAAGGTTACCAAGTCAGCCACTGGGTTATGAGTAATTTGAACGAGATTGACTCACAAGTTTACACCAGTTACTACAGCATGAATGATCCCTAAAATGGACAGTGAGTGCTCTTAAGAGGTGCTGCCAAGTTCCTTTTCACTCCTAAGAAATAACACTTAATATTTAACACAATTTGTAATCATACCCAAGGAAACAAAAATAAATAAAATAGTCAGTTAACATTATTGTTCACTTAAGCCTTTTACAAGTTGTAGCATAATCTGGTGAGGATTACCATAAATTTTTAAAATTTACATTCTATCTAAACTATTCCATCAAAAGATTATTTCTTCTAGTCCATGGGCAAATAAGTATATCAGTCATCTATCTTCTATTTTCTATATCTATTAAATTTTTTCAAATGACTCAAGTCAATATTATCTAGTATGTTATTTAATATTCACAACCACCAGTCTTCATCGTCATTGTCATCATCATCCTCATCAATACCTTCAAACAACTTATTAAAGCACTCACTGCCTGGGGCATTGAAATGTTGGTATGGATTACTGCGAGAAAGAGTAGACATGCACAGCCAACAAAAGTATGCCCGGCACTTCAAACAAGTCATTTTATTACAGCCATCAATCTTCTGAATACTTGCTTTGCAACTTGGACATTGCTTTGCATTGGAGTCAAGCCACTCTTCAGACACAACTTCATCCATCAACTTTTGAAGTTGCCGTTTTCCAAAACGCTTCTCTAGTAGCTCTTTTTCAGCACTAGAGGCTGTATTGTATTCCTCTGTAAGCTTCTTAAGATTATCTCTTTTAATCTCACACGGAGAAACACCATGGTAGGTATGCTTGCAAAAAGCACAAAATGCAAATGAACATGACGTGCAGACACCCATTGCTGAATCACTGTCAAGCATGACGGCAGTTTGACATAATGGGCGGGGACAATAAACGACATCTGACATTCCATCAAGACTGTACTGAAGCAGAAATCTGTCGTACTTTG